GCGGGCCAGCCGGGCAGCCCCTGGGCCCGGGGCTGGCGGAGGCTGGGAGGCTTGTCAGGTGCCAGTTCCTTATCTGTGCTCACAAAAACAGCCCTTGGCCTGTGCGTGAGGCGGCTTTTTCTGTCGGGGAAGTTATTTCTGCGTGTCCGGTGTGGTTTGTGCCTTTTTGGCCTGTAAGGGCTTGCGTTGTTTGGCTTCAACGGCCATAGGTGGACTTGATCAGAGCAACTGTGTTCACACCTAGCATTTCAAAGACGAATTTAAGACTTTAGATTTAATTCAATTTAGTAATAGTCGTTTGGGAGTGATTTTAGAGCAGTTAGTGGGTGTCTGCACAAGTTAGGAGTTTTTCAACAGCTTTAGAGGAGCAGTCGCTATTTAAATCCTTGCAAGTCATGGTAGAATCGTTTAAGAGCCTTGCTTCTCAAAATCTTTTTATATTAACATGACCAGGTAAGCCAGCCTTCCTTTCCCCGCCCCCAAGGTCTGAGTGACACAAGTGTTAGTAATGTTGATAATACTCTGAAACGTCGCGAGTGACTGAGCAAAGTATGGAAAGAGCAGAGGGGGGTTATGGAGAGGAGAGAACAGCTGAGAAAACTGAAGAGCCATCAAAGCTGAGTTTACTGTGGAGTTGACACTGCTTCTATAAAAATGTTAGGTGGTTATGAAAAAAGCTTATGCAAATGTTACTTCATGAATGAATATGGTTGGTATTTCAGTGAAAGGTTCCCCGTGCTCATCCATTTGGAGACCGGTATTTCAAACTTCCAGGCTCTGACTCAGGAAGGAAACAGGTGTAGAGCAGTGGTAGGAAGAAATAAAATTGCCATGTTTCAGAGGAGCAGTTTTCCCCTTCACATTCTTTCTGTTTGTTTCTAGAGAAAAGCATCATAAATAGATCTTGAAGTTTTGTGTTTAGAAAAGCTTCAGGTGATACTTATCTCTTTTTTTTTTTGGTTGGTTTTTTGTTGTTGTTGGTTTGTTGTTTTTGTTTGGTTTTGCTTTTTGGTGTTTTTTTCTGTTACAACTGTTTGTAGGGAAGTGCAGCCTCAGCATTTTATACTCATCTGGTTTGTAGTCTTAATCCTATAGTACACAGAAGTTTTCACTCCAGATATACTAGGAGTTAAAATGAAAATATGCAAGGAACAGATGGCATAAAAAAACCAAACCACAAAAAAACAAAAACCTTGTTTTTCTGTGGATATCTCAGAAATAAGAGGAGGAGAATGCAGATGTGGTATGTAACAAATCAAGTGGAAGTGCAGACTTTCTGAATTATTAAGAAAAATACTTTGAGAACATTTGGCAGGGTATGGCCACCTTTTCTCACAGATGTGGCTGCTTTGTACATGGTGTTACTGTCTCTTGAAATTCCTGTTTTAATTTAGGAAATTAAGTCACTACAGAAAAATAATCTTCACTAGCATTTTAATGAAACTTGAATTATTTGAAGAGCTGTGGAATACTTTTAATACAGAAAAATACTGTGGTTGGATCTGTGAATTTCTTCAGGAGTGCAGAGTGTCAGATAATGTAGTTCTTTACTAAGTGAACAGGAATTATTGGCTCAAGAGTTAAAGTTTTTTTTTAATTTCAGTGTTACAAGATGTTTGAAGTTGTGTAGCTGCTGAATTGACTTAGTTGTGAAGTGTACTTCAGGGTGTGCTTTATTTGTCTATATGAACAGATTGGAAGAGGGCTGGCTGGCTAAGTTCAGTAGAGCTAAAACACAAAGCACCTCTCCAGTAAAAGTGCTGGCTGCTCTTGCATGAATACAGTTTTTTCATATGGCTTTGTGGAAACATAGCCATGGGATGAGTGTTGCTATAACTTATACAAGGGAAGGTCATAGTTACTGAATTTTGCAGTTGGTGAGATAGTGTGTATACCAGGAGGTTTGGGATTTTTCATTTTTGTTAATTTATTTGTAGAGGCAGGAGTGGTTTTTGTTCTGCCAGCACAGCGATGTAAGTAGACATTTTACTGTCACTCACGTAGTGACCAGGATACCAACTAAATTGTGTGTGGCTTTTGTTTCAGTAAGAGTAATTGAAGTGCATGTTCTCTCTACTTGTCACATTTGATGAAAAGCAGCAAAGTTGGCAGAAACGTGGTCCTGCTTGGACTACTTCATTAATGCCAGGATGTTGTTTAACTTTTGCTCTCTGAGTTAATATGTTCCTGTGTAGATGTGCCAGACTTCAATGAGTTACTGTATGGTCAGAAGATAAATTTATATTTTGGGGAGTGGATTTAGGTAGAAACTGATAGTGGCTGAGTGTCCACCACCCATACCTGTGTGTGCAAACACTGCAGACCTAAAAAGTCTGGGTTAGGCAACATCATTAGCAGGACAGTAAGTGGGAAGGAAAGCATATTGGTTAAATTAAACATACAGGCAAACTCAAACTTCTTGGTTAAAGTGTGCTTATCTATTTCAGTTTCTGCCTTTTCTAGGTGGTCTTCGAAGGGGTCAGAAGAAAAATTTTAGCGCTTTGTGTCTTAGACCTCTTCATAGTTAAACAGCAAAAAGACTTTGCGAAGTGTTGGTGTATGCACTTCCATAAAATGACTGCTCTGAAATAGTTGCACTTTCAAGGTCTGCCATAACAAAAATCTTTTGAACTGATGCATCCCAACATAAATGAGGTTTTCTGCAGTAAATGATACTCAGAAACAAATATTTTGCAGCCTGTGACCTTGTGCCTCAGGGACTGTTGTACACTAAGGAGCTCACCAGGAGCTACTGAAGTTCTAGAATTTACAGTCATTGTAGCTAAAATGCCAATGTTTTGGTTTTTTGTTTTGTTTTTCTTTTTCAATCTTATTATTACTCTCAGTTTGTTGTTTTCATAGTCTTATCCTCCACCCTGGAAGGAGAATCACAGCTTCATGGTGTGATGTTGCTGGCTCTTAATAAAAAAAGATGTGTATATAATGTTGTCTAAATGCGTGTCCTTGGTTTTAGGAATCCTCTTTTTCCAGTATAGGAAGAAATGAGGAGTTTTAAAGTATTTTTCCTTGGGTAGTTATATTTTCAGCAACTGTTTTAGGTTCAGGTAGAT